ATATGAACTGTAATATTCTCTATGAACAGTCAGTTTCTATGGAAACATTGAGGGGATTTGGCTTGAACATTTTACCTACATGTGTGGGTATTATGGGAGTGGGGGTGGTTAGAAATAGTGAAAAGATTGCTATTGGCCACAATCAACTTTTGTAGAGGAAAAAGTACTGCTTTAAACATACAACTCTTGGGAAAATTTGCTTCTTTTTTTTTTTTAATCATAGCCAGTCACTTAAATGATCTTGTTTGCATCATCTGTCATTGTACTCCACTTTGTAGTTATATAGAATTGTTCATTCATGTTTACAAGTATTTCTCTAGTCTCTTGCAACTGACAGGATCATGTGGAAATTTTATAACTACCAAGAGCTGTTAAAAGATACACCAGCTACTTCTGTCGACTGCACACACCTAGTTCTGTAAAAACAGAATGCATTTCTTTTGAGGACTAAAGAAGTCAGTACACCTATAAAGATTCTTGAAAATATGTTGTTTGGAAAAAAATCACGATGAACAACTTTGTATCCTACAAAGTAAATGCATAGAGCATGTATGGTTGTCCCATGAGTGTCAATTTGAACCCCAAGCCATAGATGATTATGTGGAGTTGATATTATGGGTTTTATGTTCATATTTGGAGGCTTTCATGTTGTGCTCTCTTTTCTTAGAACATCCTTTTGCTACTTCTTGTGAACTTTTTTTTTCAAAATCTCATTAGCCACCACTTCACACCTACTCAAAGGATAATTACATAGTTACTCATTCTCTAATACATGCTTCTCTAATCATTTTTATTCCCATTATTTGTATGCATACATTTCCCTGTATTCTATCAGTTCAGCCTAAGTCTGGAAATACTTCCTGTGTTTGGCATGTTAGTATTTAGTAAGCACACAATTATTCCTAACCTATTTGGAATTAGATGTGAATGAAATTCTCTGCTTCTTAAAAGCAGAGCTTAATATTTACTTTAAAATTCTTATTGTTTTCTTTATATGTACAAAGGAGTTGCCATTCAACAAAAGTAGTATATAATAACAATGAATTTAGATCAACATTACCCCTTTCATCATTCTCCCCCCATCCCTCCCAACCCTGGTGTTCAATTCTTTTTCTGATTTGGGGACGTTTCTTGATGCAGAACAAGATTCAAGACCATTATATGAGATTTCATGTGCTAGTCCTGGTGCTTGAATCTCGGGCCTTGGTGCTGTCCCTGTTCAAAACTTGTGTTCTACCACTTGAGCCACAGTTCCACTTCTGATTTCTTGGTTGTTAACTGGAGTTCTGAGTCTTACGGACTTTTCTTCCTGGGCTGGCTTCAAACCCTGAGCCTCAGATTTCAACCTCCTGAGTAGCTAGGTTTATAGTTGTGATGCACCAATACCCAACTTCAAAATATTTCTTTAAACAACTTTTTTAATGAAAACTCAAGAAATATTTTCACTTGAGCTGCACCTCCAGTCCTGTCTTTGTGCTGGTTGATTGGGGACAAAAGTTAGATTATCTGCCTGGGCTGGCTCCAGGTTGCAGTCCTCAGATCTCAGCCTCTTGAGTAGTTAGGGTTATAAGTTTGAGCCATTGACACCCAGCTTCATGCTTGGTTTTTTTTTTTTTGTCAGTTGTGGGGCTTGAACTCTGGGCTTGGGTGCTGTCTCTCAACTCTTCAGCAAGACTACCACTTGAGCCACAGCTTTACTACCAGTTATCTGGTGGTTTATTGGAGATAAGAGTCTCATGGACTTTCCTGCCTGGACTGACTTTGAACCACAATCTTCAGATCTCACCCTCCTGAGTAGCTAGGATTACAGGCATGAGCCACCAGTGCCTGGCCATATATTTATAATTTTTACTTTTTTGTCGGTCATGAGGCTTGAACTTTGGGCCTGGGCGCTGCCCCTCAGCTCTTTGGCTCAAGGCTAGCACTCTACCATTTGAGCCACAGTGCCACTTCTGCCTTTTTCTGCTTGTGTGGTGCTGAGGAACTGAACAGGACCTCCTGCATACAAGGCAAGCACTCTTACCACTGAGCCACCCTGCAGCCCCATTTTTTTTTTTAAAGCAATATAGGTTTCTGAGTTTTTGCAAACCACATTTCTTAGAACATAGCTATGAAGTTCTTAAGTAATGTATAGTTAGGAGGAATTTTTTTTCCCTGTTCTGGAACTTGAACAAAAGAGGATTCCAAAGTTTAAAAGTACTTTATTTAGGCTTCATGAACACTTTTTAGACAAGTACACAATGTATTAATTTTTTAAAGATTTTTTTTGTATTTCTTAATTGTTACAATAATCCCTGCTTCAGGCAGAGATTAATTTCTTTTTTTGGGGGTGGGGGGTCCAGTCGTGGGGCCTGAACTCCGGGCCTGGGCGCTGTCCCTCAGCTCTTCAGCTCAGGGCTAGTGCTCTACCACTTGAGCCACAGTGCCACTTCCAGCTTTTTTCTTTTGCTTATGTGGTGCTGAGGAATCGAACCCAGGGCCTCAGGCATGCAAGGCAAGCGCTCTAGCTCTGAGCCACCTTCCCAGCCCAGAGATTAATTTCTTGAATGAGAAAAGCATGTGAAAGAGCTTAGCAGTGGGGTCTTGAGCTGGGTACATGGCTAAGTGACAGAGTAAACACTTGGCTGAAGCCCTTGGTTCAACCCACACATACACAAAACAGATGGTATATTTTGAGAAGTGACTTCATGAATAGGTTCAATACCCTCCTGAAAGGAGAGTGAAGTGAATTGCTTTGTCTCTTCTGCCAAGTGAGAACACAGAAGGTACAACCTAATAGAAAACTCAGTGAACATTGAAAGGCTGCTGTTAAGATCAGCCTTTAGAACAATAACTATGCTTTTAAAAAAGAGCTTCAGTGAGTTACCAAAGATGAATACTAAACTTACCACTTAATATTTGCAAGCCAAGGGGAATTTTAGAACACTGTTTTTCAGTCTAAGTACAGAAAATGTTTCTGAATTGCTATGATATCTAGATTTTATTTATTTATTTTTTTTTTTGTCGGTCGTGGGGCTTGAACTCTGGGCCTGGGCGTTGTCCCTCAGCTCTTCAACTCAAGGCGAGCGCTCTACCACTTGAACTACAGCGCCACTTCCTCTAGATTTTTTTTTATCTTTTGATAAATCAGAAAGATTTCTAATTTCTCAGCAATATTTGTCACTGGAAAGTTTTCTCATATTCTGGATTGTCAAACATTTTTGAAGACTTTAAAATTTTGTTTAACATTTTCAGCTTTTCTCTCCGACTCATACAAATAAAGTTTGACAAATTCCCCAATATTTTGCAAATGCTACATGCTTGTGTTTTTAATGGTTAATTACTTTTGTTAGCTTTTTTAAATAAGTTTTTTTATTGTGAAAATACTGTACAGAGGGGTTACAGTTACATGAGCAAGGTAATGAGTACATTTCTTTTTTTTTTTTTTTTGAGTCCGGTCGTGGGGCCTGAACTCTGGGCCTGGGTGCTGTCCCTCAGCTCTTCAGCTCAAGGCTAGCACTCTACCACTTGAGCCATAGCGCCACTTCTGGCTTTTTTCTTTTTGCTTATGTGGTGCTGGGGAATCGAACCCAGGGCCTCAGGTGTGCAAGGCAAGCACTCTACCACTGAGCCACCTTCCCAGTCCCATGAGTACATTTCTTATCAAGCATTGTGTTAGCTTTTTTTTTTTTTTTTTTTTTTGGGTCTGGTCGTGGGGCCTGAACTCTGGGCCGGGCGCTGTCCCTCAGCTCTTCAGCTCAAGGCTAGTGCTCTACCACTTGAGCCACAGCACCACTTCCAGCTTTTTTCTTATGTGGTGCTGAGGAATCGAACCCAGGGCCTCGAGCATGCAAGGCAAGTGCTCTACCACTGAGCCACCTTCCCAGCCCTGTGTTAGCTTTTTATAAGGGCTAAATATGTGATTTATTTGAGGCTATTTTGAAGAATCTAATTGGCGAACTTTTTCTAAAGCCTAATACAACATTACTTTGCTAACAGGGATTGACAAGAGAAATTTGCTATATCTTTTACAAGATACTTTTTCCCCCCCAGAGAACTCCAAATATATGCATAAAATAAAGTATAAATTATTTGATAAACAAGTTTGCCTCCACAGGGATTATGACTAATTTCCTGGCTACTAGATTTATCTGATAAAAACAACTGGAGCAAAACAGAGTTTTCTGTCATCCCATTATGGGATGGAAACCCTTTCTTGATTAAGAATTAAAAATTCCTCTTGTCGATAAACACCCTGGGCTTCACATTTGAACCTAAATGAAGGGACAAAGCTTTATACTGTCCTTTATACTTCATGCTTCTGCAGGGCAGGCATTAATCTAAGCAATGGTTGAGGATTCAATTAGTTCATTTGTTAATACTCAGCAGTTTGCTTTACTATTCTGACCCTCCCCCCATTTGATACATAAGGAAGAAGACAAAATAACTGGCTTTTATAGTGAACAATTTTTCTAGCATGAAGAGAAATTTACAAGACATCAACTTTATTGAAAAAATGAGTTTTGTTTAGTATACATCTCTGTATGTGATATACCGGTACAGCTATCTGGACATTTTATGCTGGTAAATCTTTGGTCTGGAAAACCCAGAGAACCTGTTAATCTATCAAACTTGACAAATGGATTAAAAACACTTTGGGGGAGAAGAAAACACTGAATTAGAAATGAAACATTATTTGTAAATGAACTGCTTATTAACAGCAAGAGTGTGTCAGTAAAGAGCTTAGCTTGCTAGATTAAAGAAATTGTCTCTCCCATCTGTTCTAATTAGCTAATCTCTCCTGCTTTCCTATCATGCTGATAATTTCAAGGAAGAGGTGAGAGCTACTTTGAAAGGACATTTTAAAAATTTATAATGGTTTTGGCGTGGTCATCTGTTCTCAAAAATAAACTTTTGAATGTTGGGCCTTTTGTGTAACAATTTGTTACTGGAAATTTCAAGTCTTTGAATGCTCAGTTAAGATTTTGCCTCTTGTTTCTTTGATTTTGGCCCAAACGATTATGTTTCCTCTCTTTGGGAAGATTTCTCTGCATATTTTGATATTTTTCCTGATAGAAGGCATTGTTACATCCTTAACAGGTATGTTTTTCATCATCTTATGTATCTGTAGCATATTCTCCTAAAATTATTTGACGTGATTGCTATGAGAAGTTGCTCAAATATAACTCAATCTTTGATACTGATTTTTATAAATTGTTTAAAAATATCTTCAGTATTTTGCATTTTATCTTTAAATTAATAAATCTGGGTTCAAACCTTACTTTTATTTCTTGTAATGAAATTGGGCATATACGTGATTTAAAAAATATCTTGAATTAAAGGAGTGGGAATTTTGGAGAGATTGAATATTTTATTCCTCTTTTTAGATTTATATTTCTGTCTACACTGAGCATTGACTTTTAGATTCAGAGTCTAAATGTGGCCTAATGTCAATTTTTGTTACTTTTATTCCGAGCCTTGCTATGCTTTGACTTTGTAATACAAAACTTTGTATCTTTAGAAGAAAACCAAGAACCCAAGAGTACAATCGCTTTTCTCCTGCCTGAAGAATCTACAGATGCTCTTTTACTTACTGAAAAAAAACAGATTCTAGATCACCGAGAAACTGAGAGACAGTGGTTACTTAGAAGGCACCGGCGATCTATTCTGTTTCCTGACGGAGTAAAAATCTGTCCAAATGAAAGTGTTACAGAAGCTGTGTTAAACCATATGAGGTATTTTAAAGTCCGAGGTAAGCCAATATACAAAACCTGGGTTCCCTGATGAAATTTATGGTCCATTTGTTGGACTGACTATTCTGGTGCCCTGCATCTTGTATGTACATTTTTCTAATTTGGGGAGAGGAAGGGAAATAACAAAATGCTAAAACAAGGATACAGGTTGACCCATTGTAACAATGAGATGTACAAGACACTATGTTGAAAATGAAATTTACAACTTCGGGGCGGGGGAGGAAGGAGGAATTGGGGAGGTGGGGAGGGAAGAGAGAGTTGGGGAAAAACAAAGGAGGGGTTAATAATGCTCGATAGGAAATGTACTCATTACTCATGTAACTGTAACCCCTCTGTACAGTATCTTTGCAATAAAAAAAGTGTGGCAGGGGGCTGGGAAGGTGGCTCAGTGGTAGAGCGCTTGCCTTGCATGCATGAGGCCCTGGGTTCGATTCCTTAGCACCACATAAGCATTAAAGTCAGAAGTGGCGCTGTGGCTCAAGTGTTGAGCACTAACCTTGAGCTGAAGAGCTGAGGGACAGTGCCCAGGCCCCACGACGGGCAAAAAAGAAAAAGAAAAAAAGTGTGGCAATTTAGACAAAATTTTATATTAGTGAAGCAAAAAGGACTTGATGAAAATATAGTATTAACATAATTCAGAAAAATGTTACATTAGTGTAGGTAAGTCAATATTACAAGACTTTGTATTTTTGATACGTTGATATGATTGGAAAAATTATAATTTTAGTCTCTGCACTGCAGTAATTTACCTAAGTGTACTCATAATACATATTTACCAAGGCATACTCACCCGCTGGAATAGTTTATATATATGAAACCATTTCTTCATTTTGTAGTTTGAACATTCCACAGGTTTCTAGGGTTGCTAAAAAAGTTTTTGTGTTTAAAATAATGGTACTTCCTTTTTGTGATCTTGTAAAATTTATTTTTTAAGGTAAAGAATATATATTTATTTTTATTAAATAATTTTTTTCAGATCTACAAATTTCAAGTTATAATATTAAAATTTAAATCCAAATATTATTATTAGCTAGATTCTGGGTCCACACATATATCACATTGTCAAAAATATCTACAAAATAAATATTGATCTGGCTAATATGTTCATAAACTGGTAGAACTTTTTAAAACTCTAACTTTAATGGACACAAAGCTGAATATATTTTATACTTTCAAGAAAAGAAAACTGCATTATTTTATCCTCAAAGAGGATAAAATTTACTGCCAAGTAAATATATAAATAAAGAAATAAAATGAGAAAAAAGAAGTAGGCATAATGTATAGTGGGAAATTTGAGTTAGTCTGTGCAGTGAAAGAATGCAGATATTCTGATTATGAATTTATAAATATTATTTAACCCACTCATTCAGTTTTTTCCCTAGCACAAATTAAAACTATTATTCAATGAAACTTTTTCTTTAAAAACATTTATTTGTAAATGTAAATTGAAGAAAAAAAAGCTATGAAGTATATTATTCTTTTCCCTCAGGATCAATGTTTAATTAGGAAGGTATTACAAAATATTTGATGCTCATGAAGAATTTTAGGTCAAATATAAGGATCCATGTGCTTATTTTAAAATATAAGCATAAATGAATTGTAGAAAGTACTTCATTGTAATATTTGCAATATGTATATAACGCACTTTGATCAAACTCATCCCATCTGTACGAAACTTTCTGAATCCTTTTCTATTTGCCCCTCCTTTTTAACAGTTTTTTGTTGAGTTTTACTGTGTTATTTTTGTATACTTCTATAATATTCACCTTTGCCACCTTGTCTTTTCCTCCTGTCTATTGAATCCCTTCTAATGGTCCCTTATTTTATTTTTATATAGTTATTATAATAGCAACAATAATTATTTTTTAATTTTGAAAGTGTAATTTTTTTATTTAGTAATTTTTCTTAGATAAAAATGGAAATTTGGGGAACAATTGGAAGCATATTTACCATACAGGCATTTTAGCAAGCACAAACATAAAATCCATTTGTAACATTGCAACAATAATTATTATTATCCTAATTGTACAAAGGGGTCTTGTGATATTTCTAGCATAATAGTATGATGATCACATTTACCTATCTATAGTTGCCTTTCTTAGCTACACTCTCCTTTCCCCTCCTTTTTGGTGAGTCTATTTGTCTGTTTTCATACACATATATAATAATGAACTTCTATAACATTCAACCTCTATCACTGTTTCCTTTCTCCCTCTGCCAGAATGTTAGTTTTATATTTTTTATAATCATGTCATTATTATTACTTTTTAAAGTATAGATTCCACATACAAGAACAATGTGTATTATTTGTTTTCCTGAACTTGGATTATCTTTCTTAACATGATGATCTCCAGTTCCATCCATTTTTTGCAAGTAACATAATTTCATTCTCCTTTATGCCTAAACTATGTGTTCCATATCTTGGCTATAGTAAACAGTGCTGTTTTAGTGGTGTGCGGGTAGGTTATCTCTTTTGTATGTTCCTTTCGATCTATATTCAAGAATGGTATGGCAGGATCATAATGGCTAGACCAATTTTCATTCCTACCAACAGTGTAAGAGTATTCTTTCCCTTGTCCTACATGCTTGATCAGTATTTTTTTTTCTTGATGACTTTCATTCTGACTGGGTAAGATAGAATCTATGTTGTTTTCATTTGTGTTTGGTTTATGTTAAGGATGATGAACATTTCTTCATTTATTAGCCATTTATACGTCTTTTGAAAACTGTCCAGTTTGATTGCGTATTTATTAGTTAAGTTAATTTTTGGGGGGAGGGATATTTGATTATTTGAGCTCTTTATATATTTTATATGTTAACTTTTTGTACAATAAATAGCTTGTAAAGATTTTTTTCATGTTCTGAGGATTGTCTCTAAAAAATGGTTATTATAAAGGTGATATACAGAGGGATTATAGTTACAATTCAAGTAAAGAGTATAATTCTTTTTAGACAATGTCATCCCTTCCCTCATACTCTCCCAGGGCTATTACTTGATTCTAAAAGGTGTTTACTTTCAAGTGCAGAAGACTTTTCATTTGATATAATCCATGTGCTAATTCTTACCCTTATTTGTTGTTATTAGAGTCTATTCAGAAAATTGTTGCTTATTCTTTTATCTTCTAGTATTTTTCCTTTGCTTTTATACTATAATTTTAAATTTTCAGGTCTTACATTAAGGACCACTTTGATCTTAGTTAAGGGAAAAACACAGGAATCTAGTGTCAGTCTTTTACATATGACTATTCAGTCATTCCAAAATTATTGAAGACACTGTTTAAAATGATAGTACTTCTTACAGTGGTATCTGAAGCAACACACTCAAATTTTATTTTATTTTGTTTTAAATTAGGAGTTTTATCCTAAAACTACCCGAGTTATACCACATTCCTTTTTTCTTTTACTTTTGGGAGAGAGTCTCACATTTTTTATTTCCTGAAGTGGCCTGAACTGTTAGCTTCCTACTAATACTTCCTAAGTAGCTGGGAGGACAAGTATAAACCAACCCACCTAGATTTTTATTAGTTGAGATGGGAGTCTCAAAAAGTTTTTGTCTGGTTGTCTTCAACCATGATCCTCCATTTCCCAAGTAGCTGGGATTACAAATCTGAGACACCACTGTTTGTTTAGTTTGTGTGTGTTTATATGTTTGGGGTGCTGTAGAGATTTAATCCAGTGCTTTGCATACATTAGGTAAATGTTCTATCAATAAGCCATGTGCTCTATCACACAACTACATGTCCCCATCTCCAGCATTTAAAAAAATAGTTATATTATTATTGTAGAAGTAATGTACAGAGGGCTTACAGTTACATATGTCAGATAATAAGTACATTTCTTTTTGAACTCTTTCCTGGCTCTCTCCCAGTTTTGCCCTCTCATTTCCACCCACAAGTTGTATAGTTCATTTTCAACATACTGTCTAGTGAGTACCACTGCCATATTTGTTTACCCTTTGTCCCCCCTTTTCTGCGCCCCCCTTGCCCTCCCAAAGACAAATAAACTAATAAACAATACAAAAGGAAAAGACAACAAAAGCAGCAACAACAGCAGCAAAAAGCTCATTTCCATTTCTTGGAGTCATTTTGAAAGATACTACTTTCTATGATCATATGCACATAGCTATTGAGCCTTTGTGAGCTGCTCCTGTGAAGATATTTCTTTAGTCTTACTGTATGACTGTCTAGAGACTTGTATAGCTTATCATGTCCCTGTGTATATGTGTGTGTATTTACTATCCAGTGTGCTTATTTGTAGGTTTGTAGACACATTCTAGTTACCACAAATGAAGGAAACCATGCAACTTATGTTTCTTTAGGTCTGGCTTACTTAACTGGCTTCCAAGTCTTTCCATTTCCTTATAAATGATACAGTATCATTCTTTCTGATGGACAAGTAGAATTCCATTGTGTATATACACCACATTTTCTTGATCTATTTGTCCATTGAGTAGCATCTGGATTGATTCCATATCTTGACTATGGTAAACAATGCTGCAAATGTACATGGTTTTGCACTTCCAGAATTTTGAGTAGGAGATATACAACCTGTAATAACATGAAACTCTTGTAGCACTTCACAGTTTGCAAAAATACTTCCCCAGATAAAGTTTGTAAGGCAGTAATTATTCATTCCTTTGAAAAGGAGTAAAGTACATTAAAGCTTTGAATATCTATGTAATTTACCCATACTTATTGCGTTAGTATGTGGTAAAACTAGGGTTAGAACTTAGATCTTCAGACTCTGTAAGTCCAGAGACTTCTCTTTAGAAGGGTGCTAATGAATATTAAATCTTGTTGTAATGGCAAATTAATTATTCTCTTGGTCTATTACATTTTCTTTTTTGCTTATCGCTTCCCTTCTCTTCTCATTGGTCTGTCTTTTACTCGTCATGTCATGTCCATCTGAAATGGATTGTAACACACTCGGTGCTATATAAAATGGGCAGACATTGTTTAGAAGCTTTTAAGAACTGATGTTTTTGGAAAACAGCAAGTAGATTGAATTAGTTTTATCTTAATGAAGCAGTATATTCTTCTTGAATAGCATTTTTCTTTTTTAATTTTCACATATTATTTCTAAAATTAATAGACTTTATTTTTAGACAGTTCTAGGCTTAGATAAAAGCCTAAAATTTTAGCCGAATATCCAGAGTGCTACCATATACTCCTCAAATTCTCTAATGTGAGGGAAAAGAATGGATTAAAAAAGGTAGGGAGAATGAAAGTGGACAAAGATACCAACTTCAACAGAACAGATCAACTTTAATGGAAAGTTGAAGAGGGACACCAAGGTGACCTGAGGAGAGTTAGGAGACAGGAGGCATGACATAATGAAAGCTGGGGTGGAGGGATTTAGGACTCAGGTGCATGACACCTAAGGGGTAGAAGTGGTAATTGGGCTTTCATATTTAGATTAAGATTACTGGCTGGAGAATAGGCTGGGGAATTACAGGAAAGTCCCCTAGATGAAGGTGTGGTGGTCAGTGGGCCATGCCAGAGGAGATTTCCATCACCCAGCATTAACATATTAATATAAAATTTATATTAGTATTATTATATTAATATAGCATGTTTTTTACAGTTGATATGCTAGCATTTACAGATTATTACCTAAAGTTCATCATATACATTAGGGTCCATTGTGATGCACATTTGTTGTATTTGTTTAAGCAAATGTATATCTATATCTATCTATCTATCTATCTATCTATCTATCTATATACCATGATAATGTAAAATAGTAATTCCATTGTCATAAAAGTCCTCTGTGTTCCACTTACTTATCTGCTCCTCTCTCTAATTTCTGGTAACTACTGATCTTTTTTTTTTTTTTTTGTCGGTTGTGGGCCTTGAACTCTGGGCCTCGGCATTGTCCCTCAGCTCTTCAACTCAAGACGAGCGCTCTACCACTTGAGCTACAGCGTCACTTAACTACTGATCTTTTTACTATCTCCATAGTTTTCTCTTTCCCAGCTGTCACTAGGATCATACCATATGTAGTCATTTCAGATTGGCTTCTTTACTTTGCAATATACATTTGAGTTTATCCATGCTTTTCATGGCTTGAACACTCATTTCTTCTTTCTTCTTTTTCTCTGTCCCTCCCTCAATTCCTCCTTCCCTCCCCACATCCCTCCTTCCCTCCCCCCTTCCTTCCTTCCTTTCTTCCTTCCCTCCCACTCCTCTCCCCCTCTCTTTCTTTCACTTGCTTGCATTCTCATTGAATAACTCTATTATATAGGCTTGCCAGAGTTAATTTATTCATTCATCTATCAAAGGACATCTTCCTCACCACCCAGTTTTGGCAATTATAAATAAGGCTACTTTCAACATCTGTGTATAAATATTTTTGTGGGTATAGGTTTTCAGTCCATTTTGTTAAATACTAAGGAGCACAATTACTGATATGTATAAAAGGACTAATCTTCATTTTGTGCTTTTAGATAAGAGATTTAGTAGCCTAAGAATAGTAACTCCAGACAAACATCTTCTTTCTAAGTTTATGAAGTACATTCAACTTCCTATAAACTTTGAGGAGTTCCAGATACTCTGTTTGAAATTAAAAATAAGTGATAAAATTTCAAAGGAGTACAGTGACAACAGAGGATATGCCATGGGGAAAGAACATACAAAGGAAACAACAACAACAAAAAATAAAATCACATGGTACATTTAAAACAATAACAATAAAGACAGACCTCTTGTGGCCATATCTTGGGTTCATTTTACTTACCCTGCATCTTGTGTGTGGGTATCGATATATATGTCTAATCTGGGAAGGGGATGGGGAATGACAAAACGCTGAAACAAGGACACAGGATGACCCATTGCAACAAGGATACCCACAGGACAGTATTGGAAACTTTACAACTCTGGGCGGGGGTGGGAGGGTGGGAGGTAGGGGATGGGATGGGGAGGAGAGGAGAGAGAGCGGGCAACAACAAGGAAGGGAAGGGATAACAATGATGGACAAGTAATGTACTCATTGCCTTACTCATGTAACTGTGACCCCTCTGTACAGCATCTTTACAATAAAAGTTTACAAAAAGGAAGGCTTCCTTGAGAAAATAATTCAAAGGGGTGGATGCTATTTCACTTATGCCACTCTATTTTGCCAAAAAAATATTCCAGACATTTTAAAGTTCCAGAGCCATTCAGAAAGGTCAAAGAACTGACTTTTAAAGGTACAATTTAAGAAAGACATCTGTAACTTAAAATCAGTATCTATTCAGAAAACGCCTGGTTAAATACAGTAAACTTAACATCAGCTACACTTTTGCAGAGCATAAACATGGAATTTTTTTTTAAGAGATGAGGACCAAATTCCAGCTCATTAAGAGATGACTAAATCCCTTTTTAAAGGAAAAGAATGAAGCATACAACAAATTATCTTTAGAACTGAAAGGACTTATAGACATACAGAGAACTTTAACTGACTACCACTCTCATATACCTCCAGAGAGGACATTGTGGGTGAGAGTCTCTCATGGAAATCTGAATGATTGTTCCATTCATTGTGAGACTCCCCCCCCCCCCCCCATCCCCACCTCCAGGCTATGTTAGGCCAGGCTAGTTTTCCCTAAAAACATTTCTCTGTCCCTTTTCCAGTGTGCCAGGAAGCTGTCTGGGAAGCATTCAGGACTTTTTGGGATCGACTTCCTGGGCGTGAGGAATATCGTTACTGGATGGATTTGTGTGAGGATGGAATTACAAGTATATTTGAAATGGGTACCAATTTTAGTCAGTCAGTGGAACACAGAAGCTTACTCATGAAGGTAAGTGTTATGAGGAGGAAAGGAATCATGTGTTGTTATAGTAGCATGCACACACAGCTAAGACTAAATGAAGAAAGATGTGTGCGCACACACACACACACACACACACTTGGGTTAATCCATTTGGAACTAGAAGTAGGAAACAGGGATTTGAAACTAGACCTTCTGAGTTGGAAGTCTGTTCTTTACGTCATGTTGATCTTAAAACTGCAATTTAGAAGAAACTTAGGAAAATTTGTTTTGGAATTCCGAGTTGAAAAAAAAATGCAATTACTGATATGATTTGTCTTTTGTCTGAATTTTAGAGAAACAGATTTATTGGCTATTTTATGTTCATGTGTATAGTGTTACAGGATGTCAATTTATTACATCACAAAATTCTTTGATTCTGAGTTTATAGCAGATAAATGTAAAACTACCAGTTTCCAAATTTAGACCTTTATCAAATGACTAGCAAGTAAACTCTGTTAATTTGTACCTATTCTGACACACTCAGCAACTGTGGGACACATAGAAACACTGAATGTTGAGAAATGCTCACAGACACAAAACCAAGTTGGCATTAATAGTATCTGCATTTATTATTTGTATGTCACAGAAAACTGTATCACAAAAACTGTGACATACAGTCTATCATGTTAGGACATTAGTGTTCTCTGTAGAATAAGTTTTATTCACTGCTTCACAACTGTTACCAATTGAGTTATTTTTATATTTGTTTTTTCTTAGAAACTGACTTATACAAAGGAAACTATAAGCAGGTGACTATGTTGTTATTTTTCCCTAAATTTGCCTTTGACAATAGAGATGTATTGTACTATTCTGAGACTCACCTTTTTTGATGGTTCCTTTTCTGTTTTCCTTCCAGTTCTTGCAAGGACCAGACCTGTGGGTAAGTACCAACAGTTCTTACTCCTCTTGCCTCCATCTTCTTTGTCAGAACACTATTATACCCACTGCTTGCTTACTGTCTGACTTGACCAGGTGACAGACTTGTTCCTCTCTCCAATAAGAAAAAAAATTGATAGTTTATATGGAATCATCTACTGCTATTGAAAATGAAAATCTAATGATGATATTGTTTAGAAATGGCATACTATAGCAGAAGAGAATCTGTCAAATAATGGGTGATGATGTGGATCACTTTCATAAACTACGATTATGGTCTTGAAATGAAGGAATAGTATGTACGACCTTGATGAAGCCACATTATGACTCGGGAATCATATGAATCTAGGAATCAGATTGTTTTCAGTACTTAAACAGTAGTAGGACAAGGAATTATAAAAGGTAGTACTATTGAGGTAAAAGATTTTACATCCTGTCAATTATCAGAATATCAAGATTATGCCAGCATGTAGATTATTACATAAGAAAGCACTGAGTAGGTTGAAAAATCAAGTGATTGAATCAGTTTCTAGAGATCCAGCCTGAAGAGCAGAGTCAAGGTAAAGGCATAGTTTAGAATTCATACAGGAAGTAATGTATCTGTATAGTTTTAGTCATTCTGTGTATTCTGTGTGGTGTTAGTCATTCATTCAATTCATGATATCATCAAATCTATGCTGTGGCTTGAGATTTTGTAAATCGGGATCAATTGTATGGCTTCTTCACTACTGAGAGGGAGAGTTTAAAGGTCTTTTGTGATTGACAATGTAACAATTAGTGAACTAAATACATTGTAGAGTCCTATCAACCCCCTAAATTTTCACACTTATATGAAAAGTATGATGAAGAGTTCTCTGTTGGTCAGGATATGACAGATTTGAATACAGGTTTGAAATGATGGAAGTGGGGCTTGGAGGAAATAAGCTATTCCTAAAATCCTCATGGTAGTAGTATCAGGGTTCCCTGGGATGCTTACCCCTTTTTTAAGTGATTAGAAGAATTCAAGAACTGTAAAGCATGGGGGCTGGGAAGGGTCCATTGTGATTCTATCAGGTATTACGATGGAGTATTCTGGGTATGAGGGGTTCTACTTTGAGACTTGTCTTTAGACATTAGTGTCAGTAACATTAGGTTAGTGAATTTGTTGGACTGCTTGGTATTGGCCTCACCATATTTGTTTATAAACAAAAGTTGACACTCATTAAGGAAGTTTTAGGCTAGTAGCCTAAAGTATTTGCTGTAATGTGCCCTCCAAAAATTGATTTAGCAGATGTTTAAGTAATCTTTATGGCCACTACCATCTAAACATTAGAAGTCACCACTATTCTACTCTGTTCTTCTGAGGTTGACATCCATTACTACTACTTTTCTGTACATTAAATTGCTTCTTCTATGTGAACTATAGCCTACTTAATGATGCATGATTTTGGTAAATACTGCTTTATTCCAATTTTAAGCTTCTCTATCATTTGCCAAGACTCTTCACCTCACCTCCCATCTTGCGCTTGGAAACCTCTGTCTGTAATTGTTTCTTTTTCCCAAGTCTTCAATATCTCTTTTATTAACTCCTTCTCATTAGTAAACATGCCCAAGTTCTTTTCTTTTGTAAAAAAGTTTGTTGTACAGAGGGGTACAGATACATAAGTCAGGTAATGAATATATTTCTTTTTGAACAGTGTTACCTCCTCCCTCATTTTCTCCCAGTTTTCTCCTCCTGACCCCTATCTCCCACAAATTGTATAGTCCCATTTCCAATACAGTGTCTAGTATCCCATCCCTGCAGAATTGGTTAACCCTGTGTCCCATTGTACTCAAATCTTTTCTATGAGGAGTCTGTGCCAGCTCTTTTTTCCTTCATTGCCAGACAACCTTTATCTCCTTTTAGCACTAGCCCCTGCTGAATCTCCTGCTATTTGCTTTTTCTGTCATATTCTCAACAAGTGCAAAGTGCATATGGGTCAATAAACATGTTATTAAATGTCTGAGTCTGTTTTCAGGTCTCTGGTCATATTTTCATGTAGGGTTTGTTCTTTGGGATTTTCTTCATGATTCACTAATTAGTAGTTGATGATAATCATCAGGGATAACAAAGCCACAGTTTTCAGTACATGTTTTATTCTGTTTGGAATAATACTTTTCTGTATTATTTACTCATATTTGTTTACTGTTTAATACTTTTGGTAATTCTTCTGTATATTATTTTATTTAGTTTTCCTCAACACTTGTGAAATTGGTTAAATAAGGAGATATTCTTATTTTAAATTAATTAAAAATTTCAGATCTAGGCCAAATAAAGTGTTTTTCCAAGTCATATACAATGTTAAAGATACATATGAGACTAGCACCATCTTGAATTCTTTTGCTATTATATGCTGGTTATAATAATGAATTCAAGAGCAAAGTATAGAAAGTTATCAAGGCAGCTGGATGCTGGTACTCAGGAGGCTGAGATCTGAGGATTGCAGTTCAAAGCCAGCCCAGGTAGAAAAGTTTGTGAGACTTATCCCCAGTTAACTACTCCCCCAAAAGCCAAAAGTAGAGTTGTGGCTGAAGAGGTAGAGTGCAATCATTGAGCAAAAGAGCCCAGGGATAGCCCTCACGCTCAAGTTCAACACCAGGACCTACACCAAAAACAAACAATCAAAAAAAACTCATGAAAACAAAAAAAAGAAAATTATCAAGGGGAGTAGTAATCAATCTGAGTATGAACCATTGTTTGGCTTGTTTTACAATTTTTAAAACTCTTGGGTCTTTGTGTGTGCTAAGCACACACTGTACCACTAAGCTATAGCATAAGTCTGCATTGTTTCCAAACTTATGTTCCATGTGACTAGGAGCATATTTGTTCACTTCCCTACCTGATTTCCACTGACTTGATTAGGTAATGACAGTGAAGAATGAATAATAGGCTGCATGAACTGAGAAGGGGGTTGTATTATACTAAAGATCTTAGCGAAACAACTTTAAGTGTGTAGTTTGGCCTAGAAATGAAGAAGAATTTCCTCCTCTAAGCTTAATATACCTCTGTGTTCTAGTGCTATGGTGAGTGACATTTTAAGGGATCCCTATAGGAGGTTTAACTAATAAAAATGTATGAAAGAATTCGTGTTGTTCAGTGTCCTTTACTGCCTTTTGAAAGGAGAATGAGTAGGAGGGTGAAGGATAAGGTGTTGGAGTGTTAGACAAGCAATTTGAAGCACTGAGTTTCCTAATTACTTTCATTACGATGTTGTTTATATTCAGTAAGGTAAAAGCTTCTCCTCAAGTTAGCAGACTTCTCTACTTCTTCATGCTTGCTAATTTGATTTTTAGGAACAATCTGACCCATCTTAGATGATGAGGTCTGATTTTGAGGGATAATTTGATTTTGAGGAACAATTTGACCCACCTCAGATGAGGTTTTATTTCTCTTTCATTTCATCCTAACATCCTCCTGTAGTTGCCAGCATCCTGGTCTAGCTGTCATGTTGTGTTTTGGTGTTCCTTTGATTTACTGTGCTTTTTATATCCGATTGCTCTCCAGAGGTCATCAACCCTGGTCAGCTTCCTTTTCCTCCTGGTACCTTTACACACTTTGACTTTTAAGTCATTTAGTTTATATGAGTCACTATCATTATGACCAAGTGTTATTCTACTAAAAATTATGTGTTATTATAGACCAAGCCTGAAGCTTTATGAATTAAGGTTGAGAAAAGTAGGATTTGTGGGATTAAATGGATCTCTTTTATATCACAGATCCTCATTGGCTGTTTCTGTGATTTGGAGGAAATTCTTAACTTCTAGAATTAGTCTCTCTGAATGGGGTTAGTAATATTGCCCTCTTACAGTAGTTACCAAAATTAAGCCAGTTAACCAAGATAAAGCACCTAACATAGTGCTTGATACAAAGTAAGGGATTAGTAAATTTAGTTATAATTATTTTTATTTTTATTATTATCATAAAGGAACTGGATATTGCTTGGAATTATTGTGTGATCTTGGAAATTTGCTTACCCAATAGGACTTCATTTTTTTTCTTTTTTTTTTTGGGTCCTGTCGTGGGGCCTGAGCTCTGGGCCGGATGCTGTCCCTCAGCTCTTCAGCTCAAGGCTAGCGCTCTACCACTTGAGCCACAGCGCCACTTCCGGCTTTTTTCTTTTTGCTTATGTGGTGCTGAGGAATCGAACCCAGAGCCTCAGGCATGCAAGGCAAGCGCTCTACCACTGAGCCACCTCCCCAGCTTTGTTTTTTTTTTTTTCAATTTATGAGATGAAGATACTAAGAAGGAAATGATTGTTTAGTGGATAACTGATAGACACTTCAGACTTGATTATGTTAAAATGTATTTCAGTTTAGCTGAATCTCATTTAAAAAATCTCTTCCTCCTAAAACTCTTAATGATATTTTCTCATTAATCAGGCCTTACTCAGCCCATCAAAGTGACATGTTCAGATATATTCCTTTAGGTTCTTCTAAATGACAAGTCACTTAGCAATTTTTTGCAGATACACTCTCAATAACTAATAATGATCAGTTTGGTCTAAAGGTTTAATATGTTATTATTCAGAAAATATTTTAATTTTCTAATAGAAGAATCTTTTTCATGAGATATATTTAGTCTATTTAAATTTTTATTTTATTCTTTATTATCTTTAAGTAATTATACAAAAGAATTAATCCAACATGACAATTTATGTGTACAGTACATCTTGACTAATGTCATCATTTCCACTATCTCCTCCCTGCCTCCATCTACTGGTGAGATGTTTTTTAAACCTGTGTTTCTCAAATTTTTTATTAAAGTCTGTGGAGTTGAGAACATGCCCATAATTGACCTTTCCAGTGTAGCTTCAATTATAAAATTCCTTTGATTTAGTATATTTCATTGTAAGATTCATTTAGACTTTATATTAATATTTAAAATTATTATGAGTTATTTAAAATAATTTATTATTTTAAATTATTGAATTCCCTATTTAATTGAGCTTTCAGGAAAATTGATCCTTTAAGATGAGCTAGGCACTG